GGCGGTCGGACGCCTCCTTCCCCTGGATGCGGCCGCGTACTGGCACAAGCTGACCGCGCCGCAACTCACCTCCTCCGCGGCGTTAGGCGTTGCGCACGCCGCCTCCCTCACGCACCCGACCGCCCCGCGAGCCTGTCGGGTTGCCGCGGGCCGCCGCCATCGTCTCCTCTGCTCTAGCGGCGAGCGGCGCCGCCGCCGGAGCCGGAGGTAATAGTACTAGTAATAAAAATAGTAATCGTGATAGGAATAGGAATAGGAATCGTAATAGGAATAGGCGGCGGCGGAGGCGGCGGCGTGGCGCTCAGCCTCTACTCTGACGAGCCGGAGGTTGCACGAGATTGCACGAGATTGCACGAGATCACACGAGATTGCACGAGATTGCACGAGATTGCACGAGCCTCTACTCTGACGAGCCCGAGGTTCGTGTCCGCGCACCCTCCGTACTCTCTCTCCTCTCCCTCTCCCTCTCCCTCTCCCTCTCCCTCTTACTCCCTCTCCTCTCCCTCTCCCTCTTACTCTCCCTCTCCCTCTCCCTCTCTCCTCTCCCTCTCTCCTCTCCCTCTCCCTCTCCCTGCCGCGGCCGTGGGCAGAATGTGCGGCACTCTGCACACTCTCGCCACCGCCGCGGATGCGCCTGCTCGCAGGTAGCGCGGCTGCACGAGCTGGCGCGAGAGCTGCAGCTTCTCCGCTCCGACGCCGCGATCCTGTGCGGACGAGATTGCGCGAGATTGCGCGGGATTGCACGAGATCGCACGAGCTCGCACGAGATTGCTCGAGATTGCTCGAGACTGCACGAGATTGCACGAGATTGCACGAGACTGCTCGAGACTGCACGAGATTGCACGAGATTGCACGAGCTTGCTCGAGCTAGCACGAGATTGCACGAGCTTGCACGAGATTGCACGAGATTGCACGAGCTTGCTCGAGATTGCACGAGCTTGCACGAGATTGCACGAGATTGCACGAGCTTGCACGAGATCGCACGAGTCGCACGAGATTGCTCGAGATTGCACGAGATCGCACGAGCTCGCACGAGATTGCACGAGCGATCGCACGAGATTGCACGAGCTTGCACGAGATCGCACGAGATTGCACGAGCTTGCTCGAGATTGCACGAGATCGCACGAGCTCGCACGAGATTGCACGAGCGATCGCACGAGATTGCACGAGCTTGCTCGAGATTGCACGAGATCGCACGAGATTGCACGAGCTTGCTCGAGATTGCACGAGCTTGCACGAGATTGCACGAGATTGCACGAGCTCGCACGAGCTCGCACGAGATTGCTCGAGCTAGCACGAGATAGCACGAGCTAGCACGAGATTGCACGAGCTCGCACAGCGCGTCTGTCGGGGATGCTCCTCCCCGCTTGCGCACAGCCTCTGAGGAGCCGCCGCCCCCCCTGCTCCCTGGCCAACAGGCGCCGCCCGCGGCTGGCGCCTGGGACATGTCCAGGACACGTCCGCGACATGTCGCCGACGCGTTCCGCAGGTGCGACGCCCTGCCTTCGAGCCGGAGGAGAGACGCCTCCACCGCTCCTGCACCGCTCCTGGACCGTCCCGCAGGCGCGACGCCGCGCCTGCACGCGGGCTGGCGGCGTCCCTCACACCCCCTCC